GAGCATAACACGTAACTATCGAAGGTAAATCTATTCAGCGAATTCGTGGTCATATTCTTCTATTTAACTTATCTTCTCCTCAGTATATTAGACTTTATATTCTGGAGCCAAAGCAGAATGTCTTTTGTCCCTTGGTCCTTTGTGGTGGAGTGTTTTTAGTCGAAGTAATTGGTAGACTCCGGCTAGTTCTAAGCTGAGGAGAACTCTAGGATGCATAACACCCCTGTTATGCTTTCTTGTATCGATATATCATCCTATGTTATTGGAAGTTTGAACTGTAGATACATTGGTCGTACTAAGCATTTAGTGGCACGTGCCATTGTTACACATTCATGCGCCTAATCCCATATATTTACTTTCATCTGTTCAAGATGTAGACTGTTACTACTTCGGAATGTTCCTCTATCATGGTTTATAGCTACATTTCTTGGGAGCTCTTTTACAAGAAAAAGACCATGAATACAAAGATTGGTTTAAAAGCAGACAAAGGCCCGCAAATTTGATTGGCTATGCCGCTACACAAAGACTTATGCTCTCAAGAACTGTATATTAAGGACTGACAAAGAGAATCCAACAGGCATCTTGAACAACAATCCGGGGACTTGGAGGCTATTTCCGAGATTTTATGCGAATAAGGTCGATCTATCATGGTAGTTTGTGAAACATGAATGATCAGATGATTCCTTGTTTGAGTAACACCTTTCCTATTTCCCCTTTGGTATATGTGACTACAATTGTATTTTGCATTTATATATGACTTTGAAGGCAAGTATGGGTAAATTTTGATGAATTTTCCAAGTCAAGAATTCGAAGCCACAAACGGCAAATACCGAGTGTAATGGCTCAACAGTACAGTATATTCTCTTGTACAGGCGATTATGGATAACGCTGAAACCGAGTCTTCATGTAATAAGCACTGTGCTACAAATCTATCTGCACACACAGTATATTCGGACTTCCAGGTTTAAGTTTATTCGGTTGATAGGCAGTCATCTAACTTCATACGTTTGCGTTGTCAAACAATTCAATCATGAGATGGGACTCAATATTCATCCCTTCTAGCGTTATCAATAAAGATATGACCCAGCTTTGTTGCGATTTAAATGGCTGTAATAACTGAGACACATGATGATATCCGGTACACTTTGCGAGCTTTAACGTTTCGGTGAATGGTCGTTGCGGCAATTGCGGAACATTGCAACGCAAACTATTGCATGATCTATTGGAATGGTATTCTATTCGGATCTCGGATCTTTGGGCAATTTAGGACACGAACTAGGGCTGCTGGATACTTTGCGAAGGAACCGCATTTATTAATAATGACCACGGAACCAAGAAAGTCGAACCAAGAAGGCAGCTTTTGTCCAGGCCCTGGGTAGGTCCCATCACGAGCTTCCGTCCGTATAGAGTTTACAGTTTTACCAATTGATAACGTTAATATCAGTGAACTCAAACATCGATCATTCTGAGGTCAGTGGTTGCGAATTGAACCATCTCAACGACATACCTATATTTTTGCCAGTGGAGCCCTTTTTTGCGTTCGGTGAAGTGCTTTTCCTCTACCAACCCTGCGTACCATCTGCCTCCATTTATACCATCACTCGAATAAACCATTAGCCAATCAACCGTCGAAACAATGGTGTATACCGTCACCGTCCTCTATCCCAACGAAGCCGATGCAAAGTACGACCTTGAGTACTATCTCTCGCATCATTTACCTCTTGTCGATCGACTTTGGAGGAAATATGGATTACATGGCTGGACTGTTGTGAAGTATGGTCCGGGTGCCACTGAAGACCGAATTCCTTACTCCTTCGGATGTGTGCTCTTCTATGAGGACGACAATGCAGCGAAGCAGGCATTCAAAGGCCCTGAAGCTGCCGAGGTACTGGGGGATATCTCAAAGTTCAGTAACAAGCAGCCTTTGTTTTTGTATGGTGAGAGAATTAGCACGGGAGGTTCAGTTGGCCGGGTTTAATAGGTTCTGTGTTGGGCATGCAAAAGAAGCTATGGTGCTCCGTCTGGGATGGAAGACATGTATGTACCCATACTGAGAGATTATCGACGCTAATGGGACGACTTTCTAAAGGGTCATCCTTTATGGATATCAATCATAGAAGTATTAGGTGCAATGTTATTCCATCTGTATCCAGGGATATACCTGTACTGAATGACATTTTCCGTGGCCTTGGAGCCTCAAAGACATTCACAAAAGTCACGCGGGCCGACTGCAGGATTTCTGGTGCCCCTCACCGACGATCACATCATCCTTCTTTTGCTTATCGGCAGGAGATCTCACCATTCACAGGCGGTCTTTCACCATCGCCGAGATCTAGCCTGCTAACTCATCAAGCATCTCTTGTGTCTGCAAGATAAGGCTTCATTTTGGTTTCTGGTGTTTCTGCTGTCGGGGCATTGGGGATATCTCCTAGCTGACGCCTGTGCGACAAGCGGCAGAATATCTGGCACTTTGCAACTCTCATCGTCTCAAAATTACGCTCATGTTAGCATAAGGCATAGCCATACTACTTCCAAGTGATAGTATCGATTCGCCTCAGCTAAATAAGCGCTGGTCAACATGGCCTTCATGACCAGACTTGCGACCTGGCTTTGGGGTCAGGATCCAAAGGATCGGGCTCTGCTTGCCAAGCTAGATGTTACTCTGCTCCCTTATTTTTCCCTTATTTGGTTTCTTTTTGGGGTGACACGGTCTAGCTATTCCTCGGCCTATATCAGCGGCATGCGGGAGGCCCTCGGGTTTGAGGGGAAAGAATACAACTACATGAGCACCGCGTACCTGGTAGTCTATGCTGTCTGCCAAATGCCCGGTACAAGCCTTCTCACAGTGGTGCGACCGAAATATGTCTTTGTTACTGCCAATGTTACTTGGAGTGTCTTGACCTTAATCACGTACAAGATGACTCGGGCCTGGCAGGTCATTTTGTTGAATGCGATCGAAGGAGGGTTCTCGGCCATCGCATAGTAATCGCCTAATCTACTTTGCATGTGATTGAGCTGGCCGACACTAACTTTGAATAGCGTTGGTGCACAATTTATCCTAGCCTCGTGGTACAAAAAGTCGGAGCTCGGAATGCGGGCAGCGGTATTCTGCGTATTCGGCCAATTGGGGACACTGTCCGGTGGCTGGATTCAAGCCGGTCTGTTAGAGACACTGGCGGGTAAAGGTGGCCTGCCTGCATGGAAGTGGATATTCATCATCGTCTCAGTGATGACTATCCCAGTGGCACTCTTCGGTATGGCTCGTCCCTTGTCTCGGTAAGAGAACAATTCTGACATCTCCGTAGGTTGGGTCTTCATTCCGGACCTTCCATCACACCGTGCGGCCTGGTATCTTACCGATGAGCAGAAGGAACATGCAGCAACTCGGCTGGGTACTATCTCCAAGAAGTCCTGGGATACCACGGTCTTCAAGCGCGTGTTGCTGAGCTGGCAATTCTGGCTCCTGCCGTTTGTTTTCATGTGTAGGTCGACAGATATTTGTCTTCCAGTCGCTGAGCTAATATCCAATCAGTGTATTCAGTTTGTGTGCAAATGCTAGGAAACAACGTCATGGCCTACTGGCTAGCCTCACGGGGGTACACGGTCGTCCAGCAAAACACCTATCCTACCGTTATCCATGCGACTGCCGTTGTGGGTATAGTTGTGTATGCAGCGATTTCAGACAAGCTACAATCGAGATGGGAGGTTTCTATCGCCATCGGTCTGACTTTTGTCATCGGCTCGGCTATCCTTGTCTCAACCCCTTCCACGGACGCTGGCTACTTTGTTGCCTTCTATTTACTCGGCACAACATACGCACCTCAAGCTGTCTGGTATTCGTGGATGGCCGACGTTACAGGCCATGACCTCCAGCTGCGTGCCATCACAACTGGATTCATGAACTCCTTTGACTTTGCTTTTGTGACCTGGTGGCCGTTGGTCTTCTATCCAGTAACCGATGCGCCCAATTTCAGGAAAGGGTATATTGCGAGCTTGGTGACGGGGATGTTAACTCTCCCAGTTATTGGCCTTATTGCTTACCTTGAAAAAAGGGACACCGCTAGAGGAATTATTGGAAGACCCCGTGCTGCTAGTTTACTCGAAGAAGAGCCGGTTATTTCCCGAAATAATGAGCCGGGAAAGTATGGAAGCACTGCGATAACCGTGCGCAACACTGAGGACGGTGTGTAGTCATTCAACAGATACTAGAAACATGGCTTGGTCGAACTAATTCTGTACTTTGGGAGATAAATGGGATGTGCTTATTTTTGTTCGTTAACCAATAACAAATTGGAAATTTCTTGAAGGCTACGAATATTATGGGAAGTTATTCTGTCCATCATCTGGAATTCACAGTTCTGTCTGCTCGGATACCATATGGTATTGCATATCTGCATGCGAGAGAGCCTCCAAAGTAGGGCATATGAGATCCCGTGGACGTGGGGTGAATTTCAGATCGCTCGGGTTTCCGTATTCGGTAGGACATTATGTCCCTGGCTACTTCGACCCAGCCTTACAATAGTCTGCGACCGTGAGATTTACACTTCAATAACCATTTCGTCCCCGCGGACAGATTCGTAAATTAATCCATAGTCCGATGACCCTTCATGTGATGGATATGGCTCAGCAGGCTCCCACGCCACGGACAGTACAGCCGTTCAGCCCCGATCACAGTAACCCTAAACATATAACCTATTTCTCATAATGAAACTCACATGCATTCATAGTACAAATAAGATGGAGACGTGCCGCTCGTTCCGAGTCGCCAGACAAGGCTTATCTAGTGATCTACATCCCAGTCGATGTTGCTCCAATCAGCCCGTCCATCTCCGCGATGACGTCAAACTAGCCCCGGCCATGCATGCATAGGAAGGAAACTGGAAGTTATCAAATCAGCCCATCTTGGATGCCACACTTAGCCACGCAATCACCTAATTCGACGTCATTTAATCTCCTACTGCCTTTATAAGGCTTGTCACTTTCCTCGAAAGAGAGAAGCATTTTCCTTCCCAATTTTCATCCTCGAGTTAAAAACAGACTTCACATCCGGAAATACTCTCATCCACCATCAACCATGTCGGGTTTCATCCACAAGGCTGAAGACGCTCTTCATCTTCACCACCACAAGGATAAGACCGAGCACAAGCACGAAGAAGCACATGAGCATCCTCCCACCATCGGTCGTGAAGGTTCGCTTGCCATTTTCTACTTTTATCATCTAGCATCATGCTAGACATGTGTGACTGACACATAGGACCAGGCCACGAGCACACCCACCGCTCTCACCCCCCTCAGAACAAGCATACGCACCCCCACCCCAACGAGGAGCAGATCGCCCGGGACGATTTCCGCGCTGACAGAGAATATGATCGTGCGTTGAGGTCTCCGCACCATGGGCCTGGAATTGGGTTTGAGGCGTAGAGTGTGATATTATCAATGTTGTCATGTTTAACTTTGATTTTCTAATGATCATAACGCCATAATCATGAACTTATTCGTTTCAATGCATCCAGTGTAGGGTAGAAATCCCCATACCCCGCCTCAGGATCGAGTGGCTGCTTCTGGAGGCAGGTAGAGCGAAGCTATACCCCGTCAGGAATATTATAATATCTGTGGTGAGACCATTGATGGTAACTGATTGGATCAGTTTCAATGAAAGATTAGTATGCAGTTGGACTACCAAACTTTATTCAATTGTAGTCTCGCGCGCGTCCCACGCTGTGTAACAGCCAAGTGCATGCATGGGCCCATGGTCATTAAACTAAAAAGTGTAACGTTGGATCGCTTAAGTTACTAGCCTGGGCATCGAGTCCAAATATTGCAGGGGTGTCTATAGGTTGTCGAACAGTAGTACTTGTCGCCATTCGCTCTCAAATCCCGTTTCACGGCGGAGTTCGGAGAAATATATAACATAATGTGTGAGACCAGAAGTATTATCGAGCAGCAATAATATTAGACACCAGGCCAAATATGAGATAGGGCAAGGTGTGTATAGTTAAGTAAGGCACTAGAGAACGATACGGTCGCGTCACTTTCTTTGGAAGTCATCATCAGATTATCGACTGAGCTGGATATTGCTGATAGCAAAGTCATACTATGTTGCGAATGGTATCAGGATGATGGCGTAAATTCATCTTTTTTGTTCAAGACAAGTGATAGTGATTGTCCTACAGACTTGTTGGGGAGCTCGGAGTATGGCCTTCAGAACATTAATATACTCCCTAATATACTCCCTAACAGGCGATGTTTATATATCCGCAGTGAGATAATACGATCTACGTAGGATATTACCCCTACACATGAATCTCAAAGTACATATGACAGAGCTCATAGCTGGAATATATTCAGCGCACTATAAAGCAACCATGGCAACAAAGATCTTTCAACTTAGCGAAGTGATGTTGCGTTGGATATAGGTTTGTTATCAGCTTTGGTTTAACGCTGGTTCGTTCCACTACTGCCCCATATTTAACACTATTCTTCTGCACCAAATATCGAGTCGTCTCGGTGGCGCAATTGGTAAGCTTACCCCTCATCACTACATCATACCCGATCAGTTACTAATTCAGCATTAAAGGTTAGCGCGTACGACTGTTAATCGTGAGGTTGAGAGTTCGATCCTCTCCCGGGACGTTTCCTTTTTCTTTTCTTCTTTTTTGCCCCCTACCTTTCCATCTCCCCCACACAACAGCCAAAGCGGTATTGAGATCGTAATAATAAATTGTCTGTTCTTCTAGAGCTTCATAAATTGATTTTTTAATACTCGATAAATGCCAAATTTGCAGCAGCTGCCCATGAACTACGCACTTCATGACATTTCTCTGGCTAGAATATCTGTGCACAGGCCAATTTCCTTCGGAGACTCCGCACTTAAGCAAGTAGATGACACAATATACACGAGTCCCCTACTTCAAAGGGCATAGCGTTCATCTGCCCCTGAGCGGCCCGGATACGAGGGCTTAGTACGCCTCGCATCCAGGCACCTGCCAGTCACTTTCCTCAACGTTTAGGCACGAAATCATGAATGACATGTTTTCTTACGTTCATGCCTTGGAATATTCATAAGCAATCTCCGTAAACCCACTTAAGTGGTCGGAAAAATTCCGCCAAGAACATAGTACTATCGCTTGTCACTAACCCCTCGGCGCAGAATGGCCGAGGACGACGACGATAGCCTCGAAACCCCTCATCTGCCCCCCGCATTTCTTCAACCATGTAGCAACATGCGGTGCATGTTGCTCGCATGATACATAATTCTAGTCTATTTCTGTTCTACTTTAACCGCGATTGCCAGCATCTTCTGCTGCGTGAGGGGCCGGTGCGATCGAGTCCCTGACGATGCCAACCCCAACGTGGTAATTCTCCTGTGGGCTTATCAGCCTGGGTAAGGTAAATGTAGTTATTTTGCATTAATGGGCCCATGCGGTGCCCAATTCTTTGGCTTAAGAATGTAAGGAACAGGAATAGTTCTGCAGGCTGCATACTAGTACTGTTGTTGCCCAAAGCATTTAAAGAATGGCCCCTTCCGGGGAGTTGTAGTTTCATATGATTTCGCAAAGTAGAGTCGCCAACTCCGAAGCATCTAAACATGTATTCGTCTACTTTGGTCTCGCTGGCCGCGGCATTGCTTGCCGGCCAGACGCTTGCCATTGAACTGACGGTTTCAAAGAGTGGTGGGAATGCGTCGAGCCCCCTTCTTTATGGGGTCATGTTCGAGGTACGGACTCTGATTCGCCCTCTCTCATTACTGCAGTCGCTCATATGCTTCATAGGATATCAACAACTCTGGTATGCCAGATCAACTGAGTTACATGGAGAATGGCACACTAACCAGTGCTAGGTGACGGGGGCATCCACGGCCAAGTACTCCGCAACAACGGCTTCCAGGGCGACGACCCGGGCCTCACGGCGTATAGCGCGGTAGGCAATGTCACTATATCGCAAGACACGGCCAATCCTCTTAGCAGCGCAATCACTTCCACACTCAAAGTAGCCGTTCCCTCTGGAGCAACTGGCTACGTTGGCTTTGCAAATGAAGGGTATGAGGGTGTTCCCGTTCTGGGGACTGACTACGACAACTACTTCTATATGAAGGGTGACTACTCTGGCACCGTCAATCTCCGACTCGTGGGAAACTCGAGTGGCATCATTTATGCGGATCACAACATCACTGTAGACAGCACCAGCACCAATTTCACATACTATGAGACTTCTTTCAGCTCGTCTGTGTCTGCAGATGCGCACAATGTGTGGCAGCTACGGTTCGATGCTTCCAAGGTGGCCGGGAGTTCTCTAAACTTTGGCCTGGTGCAGCTGTTCCCCCCTACTTATAACTCACGGCAAGTGTTTCTAATTACTCTATTCTGAACGACAGTCTAACATTGCTCAGATACAACGGCTTGCGTAATGATGTTGCTAGCTTCCTTGCGGACATAAAGCCGTCTTTCTTGCGGTTCCCTGGAGGCAATAATCTGTGGGTCCCCATAAATTCGGATTGTGTTTGGCGCTGGACTTCGAACTAACTTGTATATAGGGAAGGTGCAAGCCCTAGCGATCGCTGGAAGTGGAACGAGACTATTGGTCCTGTCGTTGATCGCCCAGGACGCGAAGGTACGGAGACCTGTACCTGTCTTCTATAGAGACCGCCATTGACTTACATCTTGTGCAGGTGACTGGTCCTATCCCAACACGGACGCACTTGGTAGGCTCGGCTCCAAAACTCCGTTTGTGAGTAAAGCCAGACTGACTGAAAAGTTAGGTCTCGATGAATACCTTCAATGGTGCGAGGACATGGACATGGAGCCGCTCCTTGCTGTATGGAGTGGCCTCTCCCTAGGTGGCGGCATTGTGTCCGGATCAGCCTTGGATCCTTATGTTGACGACATTCTCAATGAGCTCGAAGTATGCTACCCCACATAATATTTCAGAGCCCTTCTGACACTAGCAGTACGTTCTCGGCTCCGCAGACACGACCTACGGCGCCCTGCGTGCCAAGAACGGCCGCACCGAGCCCTGGGACGTCAAGTACCTCGAGGTCGGCAACGAAGACAATCTCAACAGCGGCTGCGGTACCTACGCAAATCGCTTCACTTTGATTTACGATGCTGTTCATGCTGCATACCCCAACCTGACAATTGTCGCCTCCACCACCGACACTTCCTGCCTTCCATCCACCATCCCCGACGGCGTCATCACCGATATCCACCACTACCTCACACCCGACGAGTTCATCGACCTCTTCGACGAATGGGACAACTGGTCACGCGACTGGCCCATTCTTGTTGGCGAATACGCCAGTACGACCGGCAACGACGGTAGCACTACCTACTGGTCGTACATGCAGGGATCCTGCAGTGAAGCTGTCTACATGATCGGCATGGAACGCAACAGCGACATTGTCAAGATGGCTAGTTTTGCACCCTTGTTGGAGCATTTCGATATGGCCGAGTGGTCGGTAAGTGCTTGAATTTCCATCACACACAGCTCCTGGTCATCATCTAAGAATACTAACTCCGCAACAGCCCGATCTCTTCGGCCTGGATTCCAGTCCAGACTCCATAACCGGTTCCACATCGTACTACGTTCAGAAGATGTTCTCCACGAACCGCGGCTCCACAGTACTCCCCGTCAACACGACCGCTGACTTTGATCCGCTTTACTGGGTCGCATCCGTGTCTGACGAGGGCACGTACTACGTCAAACTGGCGAACTACGGATCGTCGTCACAGAACGTAACCGTGAACATCGAGGGCACGACGTCCGGTCAGCTCCAGTTGCTCTCCGGGGGAGAGACAGTGAGCAACTATCCCCATGATGTGTCAATCAAGACGCAGACTTCTACTGTGTCCGGCAGCGGAAGCTTCACTGTTGATATGCCGGCATGGGCAGTTGCGGTGTTGGCTGTATCTTAAAGGTTCTGGCGGTTATCATTGATATCGATCGGCTGAATTATGGATTCAATACACGTTGAGTGTTCTTCACCTGGCCTACTTTAGTCTCTCTGAATTAGATAATTCATATAAAGAAAAAGGTAGATAAATTAGACAGTTGTCTTTCATAAAAAAAAAAAAAGTAGAATCCCGCTAAACACATGCGATGCGCCCCAAACCCAAATTCCAGCTAAATATTCCCATATGAAAATAACAACCCAAATAAGCTCACACAAGCTCACTGCCTAACGCTGTATGCAAAATATTTATATGACTTCCTGGACTCGTCATATGCAATATTCGGAGGTGTCCCTGACTTCTGCTGCGACTGCGGCTGCTGCGAATGTAAGATAGGGCATGCACTGCAAAGCTTTAGAAAGAGGCAGGCATGATAATAGACAAAGGATGTCTCACAAACGCAGGTCGGAGGGATATGTCAGAGCCACGGCGATTTGACCGCATCTTTGCAGTTGTCAAGGCGGGTGGAACGAAGGTACAACGACTGCGAAGGTGATTGCAGCGGATGCTATGATTTGGGTTATTTGTGTGCTTGGCATATCTGAATTTGATGTT